CCTCCCTGCAGGGCATCCCAGCGAGCATCACGTTTTTCAGCCCCTCTGGCCTCACCCACAGCCTCAAGCATATTCAAGAGTTATCTGGTGACAACATTGGTCGAATCAAGGTGAGGTATTCAGTGGGCTTTTGGTCTTTTCAGATTTTTAAAAATTTTTACTAATTATCCTAGAGCTTCCGTGTAAAGTCAGAGCACTCCTGACCCAGGAGACACCCCGATGCCAGCTCTGGAGCACTGGAAAGGCAGGGTTCTAGAACTCCCAAGCACCGCTTCCTGGCTGGTGCTCCTGGACAAGTTACTTAACCTCTCAGAGCCTGTTTCCTCATTTGTAACATGATGCTTATCCCTCTGTGGCCTGTACAGGTGTATACAGTAGTCCCCACCCCCCGTGGGGGGTACGTTCCAGGACCCTCAAGCAGATGTCTGAAACTGCGGTTAATACAGAACCCTAATATACTAGGTTTTGTTCTATCACAGACATCTCTGTGGTAAAGTTTAATTTATAAATTAGGCACAGTAAGAGATTAACAACAATAACAATAAAAGTTTAACAATACAGTGTAATAAAAGTTCTATCAGCGTGGTCTCTCAAAATATCTTCCTCTACCACACCCTTCTTGTGAGGACGAGAGATGAGAAAGGCCTACGTGCTGAGCAGAGGGGGGTGAATGACGGAGGCGTGAGGTTACTCCGGACCTGACCACACGGGACACGGAAGGTCATCTGGTCCTGACCGTGTGTAACTGAAACCACGGAAAGCAAAACCCCGAGTAAGGGGTTTTCCTGATGGATTAGTCTCAGGATTCGATGAGAAAATTCAAGTCAGTCCTTAGCCAGAGCCTGGCACGCACGCGAGCATCCTTTCCCATTTTCCCATCTGAGCATCTTGGAATTCATCCTGGAATCTATTCAAAAAGCCATTCCCCTTTTTCGTGTCTTTTAACCCAAAGGATGAAAGTCCCACGTTTTAAGGGCTCTGTTTGTCAGGAGTCTACACGTATCACCAGGCCTAGGGGGCCGGTAATGGGAATGCTCTTGAGCCAACTGCAGTGGGACCGAGGAGAGGGCGGAGGTGACCTGGAGCCCCGGGACAGAGGCCGCCAGCACTGTCCCAACTCACGCGGAGTGAGGGCTCTTCCCTTTTATCACAGGATGTCTCGTAGCACACCTGCGGGGTCGGCACCGTTTCCCAATTTTGCAGCTGGAGTTAGGCTCAGAGTTGTGCGCCTCGCCCTTGGTCTCCCAGGAAGAAGGGAGGGCCGCACTTTGAACCGAGGAAGCCTGAGTCCACGTTGTTAGCCTCGGTGATACGTGAGCCATGGCCCGTTGACGGAACATTTCTAGGCAATATCTCGTAGGATTTTCACACCGTTCCAGGGGTAGAAATCAAGCAGGATCAGGACTTCTGTCCTTATTACAGGTGAGGAAACTGAGGCCCAGAGAAGTTAAATGACTTGCCAAAGTCATATGGTGAGTTACGGGGAGGCCCAGGACTTGCATTTAGGTCGCTGGGGAAAGAGAACGTTGTCTGACTCTTGGGGACAGAAGATTAAAGATTAGACCCTCAAGCGCTCAGTGTTAGCGGCTGGCACGGAGTGAGCGGGTACCGTTTTAGAGGCTGGGATAAGCAGGGGTGCCCCGGTTCTCGTCCCCCTGCGCCACACCGCCCCCCCACCCCCGCCCCGGACGTGGTAGCCGTGCCTGGGCGGCCTGGCAGCCAGTAGCCGACTTCCTGTGTCTACGGACTTGCCTGTTGTGGGATTTCAGGGCCGGCTTCTTTCACTTAGCGTCACGGCTTCACAGCTCACCCGGCATCCCGACAGGCTCGTGCCGTCGGAGTTTCTAGTCGGGAACAACACCAGGGTTCCCGGCAGCCGCTGGCGGTCACTGAGCACTTCTGGTGCCGGGCGCCAGTGGTTACACACGCTGTCCCACGTGACCCTCGCGGCAGCCGAGGAAGCCTGTTCACCTTGCTGTTTCACAAACGAAGAGACAGAGGCCCAGAGAGGGAGGGTCACTTGCTACGGCCACGATCCTGCGGAGCTGGGATGGGAACCTGCCCCTCTGGCTCCAGGGCCTGGCCTCTCGACTGCTCCATTTTCCTGGGGGCGTCCGGTCGGGGCCCCCGCGCGCCCCAGGTGCCTTCCAGACTTTGTGCTCCACTGGGCCCCACCCAGGCGTGCGGAGGTGTGGCCAAGGCGGCGCGCACCAGTGCCGGGGTCTGGCACCCCGGCCCCGCACCGGAGCCGCAGGCTGGCGGGGAGGCTGTAAGGAGGTTGTGCAGGCCAGGCATTGCACGGGTGTGGGGCTGGATTCCCATCGGGAGGCGTGAGCACACACGTTAGGAGCTCACGGGTGAGCAGTGGCGTCCGGACAGGCCACAGGCCCTGCCCCACCGCCCTCCCGCTCCCGGCCCGGCCTGCAGGTGCACTGAGGTCCCTTCTCTCTCCCCCTGCAGTTCGCCGCCATCGGTCCCAGCACCGCCCGTGCGCTGGCCGCCCAGGGCCTGCCCGTGAGCTGCACCGCCGAGAGCCCCACGCCACCAGCCCTGGCCAAGGGCCTCAGGTTGGCGCTTCAGGCCCCCGGCTGCTGAGTCACTGGCACTTCCGGCCGCGCGACTGTCCCGGACCCGGGCATCGCACCACCACCGCTGCGGGGAAGCCAGGCATCGGCGGGCTCCCCGGACTTCTGCCTCGTGCCTCCGCGGACCCGCGGGGACACCGGGAGCGGGGTGGGCCCCAGGGCCGGCGTCGGGCTTGGCCGGCGCCCCCGGCTCCCAGGCCCGGCCGGGGCTCCTCCGGCAGCAGGAAGGAAACCAAATAAAGCACCGGCTCCCCGAGCTGACTGCGTTGTCACTTGCTGCCTGTTGTTTTCACGCAAAGCTGTGTTCGCCGAGGAAACCGATGTGCCCACGTCCTGAGATCCGCCGGCCCTGGTGGGAATGATGAAATCTGCCGCGTAGGAAGTAGTTTCATTCATCTTCTAAAAAGGACCCTCAGGCTCCTGCTGTGTGCGCTGTGGACACTTGCGGTCCGCATATGGGGAGAGGTTCTTTCCCTCGGAAACCAGACGCAGCGTAGGTCAGGCCGGGCATCTGACAGGCGGGGGGCGTTCAGTTTACTTAGAAGGGGTTTGTCCAGGGGCGCCTGGGGGGCTCAGTCAGTGAAGCGTCCGGCCTCGGCTCAGGTCATGATCTCACAGTCGTGGGTTCGAGCCCCGCGTCGGGCTCTGTGCCAACGGCTCGGAGCCTGGAGCCTGCTTGGGATCCTGTGTCTCCCTCTCTCTCTGCCCCTCCCCACCCCCCCACCTCAAAAATAAATATTAAAAAAAAAAAAATTTAAGAAGGGTTCATCTGCAGGCACAGTGCCCCACAGAGAGGCTTCAGAAATCTACCCCCAACTTTATTTCTGCTTTTAAAATCTTGGCCGGGAACTTGGGCGGGGTTGAATGAAACCTCCGTCTGTCTTTCAGTAATGGGAGCCGGTGCAGGAGAGGACTGCGTTACCCGCACGTTGTCTCTTTGGAAGGCGTGCCATAGTGGGCGGTTCCCGCGTGCCACAGCCCCGCACACGGGGCTCTGCCCCTCGTCCCCGTTCCTCTTAATGCCCTGAGGAGCGGACACCACTATTATTCCCATTTCTCCGAGGAAGGAACGGAGACTCAGGGCATCGTAGGACTTGCTCAGGGTCACACGGCTGGCGGGGGACTGGCGGACAAAGGGGACTCATGTACGTAAGCACGCAGGCCCAGACCAGCAGCGTTCACAAGCCACCTCACATCAAAGCCACCTTAGCAGAAGAGTATGAACCCGGGAATACCTGGTTCTCTAAGTCTTGGCGTGACCTGAACAAGAATTCTGCAGGTGCCGCGGTGACCCCGTAGTTCTCCTCTGTCGTCATTTCTCTGAAAACAGGCCAGAATCCGTCCCACCGCTTCTCTCTGATGAGAAAGTCAAATCTGGAGTCAGGAGTTCGGAATCCCTGCCATTCTCAAGGAGCCTTTTTCTCTGCTGGGGAGGAGCCCGGCCCCAGGCAGCGCGGTGGTGCCCTCCGGCAGCCCCTGTGGCCAAGGAGCCCCGAGGCCCGCCTACTGAGCCTCCCTGAGGTCTCTGCCCCGGCCGTGCGGGTGCCCGCAGTTGCCAGGAAGCTGTGCCAACCACACCGGGCTTGCCGGGGCAACGTCCTGAGGCCAGCCTCGGACAGAACGCCATCCCCTGGACCAAGCTGGCTAAACCCGCCTTAACTGGAGGGCACGGCTTGTGCCACACCGGGCTGTCGTGCGGGCTGGGCGAGGCGGCCCCCTGACCGTGAGCTTGGAGGTCACAGCCACGCCAGACTGCTGCACGATACACCAGAAAACGACGTCACCGCCTCTGACCCACCTGCTGCCCTGCCCCCTTGTCCCGTGTGCACATGGCCCCTGACCCCGCCCCCCCACACACACTCCTGCAAAGTTGCCCCCACTCAGGTAGGGTGTCCGGGTGAGGACAGGAACCAGCCCTTCCACGATGGACCGTGCCTGGCCTTCTTTGTGGGGACAGGGAGCAAGTTAACAGTCCCAAGGGTCCAGGAAGCTCGGGGTGGGGGGAGCATGGCACCCGGCGGGGGGCGGAGTGACCCTCTCGGAGCCCCATCTCCCCGTCACCCGTGTACTGCCTGCCACCTCCTGAGACTCACTCGTGCCTTCTGGGCTGCAATTCCCCAGCTGTCGGGAGGGGGTGAGCTCCCGCCTCCCTGGCCGTGTCCCCCGCAGCTCAGAAAACTGCTTCTGGAACCCCGTGGAGCTCCCTCGAGAGGTGGTGGTGGATAAGCAGCGTGTCACATATCCTCATAAATAAGATAATACCGCTCGGCACTTACTGCTACGTCTGAGTTTAGAGGCGTCTCTGGTAGGATGGCAGACGTGATCGTCTGGTCCCGAGTCCCAGGCACCTGGGGATCAGAGACGGCACGGCTGCCTGCAGACCCCTCGAGAGAACAGAGTCAGAGGCACCCGAGCTCAACACAGACAGCCTGTATTTCACACAACGGGGCTGGGGCCGGGAGACGCGGCCCAGGCCACCTCTCCGGACCCCTGCCATAGGACCGCTCTCTGAGGCTCTGTTGCTGGGAGCCGGACAGTAGGGAGCCAGGTGACAGCCGAGTCCCCGGATGGCCTTCTCCAAGTCACCTGCCTTTTGTGCCGATGCCACTGTCCTATTTCCCTTCGGAGATTTTATGATAAACGTGAGATTAGGTGTCTTTTTTTTTTAAAGCCCGTTTCTTACAACTGGAGGCCGTCAGCAGGGCACATCACACCATCGAGTACACATACCCCTCTGCCCTTCCGCCTCTCCCACTCACTCCAGCGATCCGGACACTTGGCAGCAAAGACAGAGGAAACAGCACATCAGCACCCAGGCGGCCATCAGTAAGCAGACGCCGATGCGATCATCACCTCCAAATCAACGGCCATCATGATCTCGGAGCATCTCACACCCACCTGGGCAGAGAAGCGCAGGCAAGCAGTGAACGTGGCTTCCCTCCCACGCGGCCACCTCAGCACGCCCCCTTCGGCCGGGGAACCACGAGCCCCAAGCCACAGAGCCCTCCATGCGTTTAAAACGTGCGTGAACTTGGCGGGGCGGTGGGCAGGGGGCGGAGGGGGGCGGCCATGGGGGTAGAAGGTTTATTCGTGATGGAAATCGACTGAAATGCCCAGTGCAGAGAGCAGGAAGGCAGAAGGTCGGGGAGCAGGAAGAACTTCCCTTTTCCTAGGCTGCTAAGTCACAAGAGGCCCATCCTCGCGCAACTGGTTTCCCAAACACCCGGGCCCATGACAGGTGTATGCACTTTCAGAGGCAGAACTGACCCCTCACCGTACATCAGGCTGAAAAATCTCCCAGGGCGCGCCTGGGCGGCTCAGCCAGTTAAGCGTCCGACCTCAGCTCAGGTCGTGATCTCCCCGGTTCATGAGTTCGAGCCCCGCGGCAGGCTCTGTGCTCTCAGAGCCGGCGTCTGCTTCCGATTCTGTGTCTCCCTCTCTCTCTCTCTGCTCCTCCCCCACTTGCACTGTCTTTCTCAAAAATAAACATTGAAAAAAAAATTTTTTTTTTTTACTCTCCCATGGGAATAATGAAGGGAAGGTCTTTTTTCAAAATGCCACACGGTAAGGTGCTGAGAATATGCAAACCCATTTCGTAAATGACATATACTTGAGGGGGAAACACGTTTCCGGTCCTCCCACTGACAACCGGATCACGACACCTCAACATTTCAGAGGATTCTGGAAGCCTCCAGCCAAACCCCTCCCCCAGCTCAGAGACAAGGAGTGTCCTGCACCGATGGGGAGCCCGCTGCTCCTGTCTGTACTGTAGATCAAACGCTCTTCTCTGCCATTTTTCCTGCTAAAGCTAACTGATTTCCTCAAAATCCACTTTACCTGGAGCAAGCGATTTAGCTCATCAAACACTGGGAGCCTCGCGAAGCCAGTCAGTCTACTCAAAGGCTTTGAAGATCGGGGAGAGGAACACTCCCAGAGAAAAAGCAACAACCCCTGAGTCCCGTGGCCCTGAGCTGCATGAGGCCAACCGCACACCACAGCAGAAAAGAACAATGTTCCGGAACAAGACCCTTGCGTCAGAAAGCCCTAACGATCCCACTGTCATCTTCACGGACAGCTGTCGTGCACGTTTTAAGACCTGACATTCCGATGCCCCGTCTCCGGCCGGAGCTTGCTGGGTGAACAGTCACCGATGGGTCTCTCTGACCCCACAGAACCCAGGCTGTGTGACATCAGCTCTCGGGACACCCGCACTCACTCATCCACAGAGTTCTCCATTCTGTTCCATGCTCAGAATGTCAGCCTCCCGGGAAACGCGTAATATTTAGAAACATTTTGCTCTAAATCTTGTGCCTTCGCAGGTTTTTGTTTCCCCAAGAGAAAACATTTAGGATTTATCTTCTAATGAAAACACAATTTGCGATTTCAATTTAAAAAAAAAAAAACAAAACAGAAAAGAACTGCAATCACGTGGGAAGGTGAACAGTGCCCTTACACTTGGTTTTGGCCACACGGGCAACACTGTGTAGCCATTTATTCAGATGTGTGTTCACCGTCCACCATATATGGACACGTGAACTATTTTGATAAATATGAGGGACACGTGTAAATGGACACGTGATTGACGTGTCACAGTTACACGCAGCGAAACCTTGATTTGCGAGCCTCGTTTGTTCCGGAAACCTGCTTGTAATCCAAAGCACTTGTACATCAAAGCGAATTTCCCCAGCAGAAATAAAGGAAACTCGGATGATTCGTTCCACAACCCAAAAATATTCAGGTAAAAAGGACTGTGATACTGTAATACAAAATAATAAAGAAGACACAAAATATTAAAAGTAAATTAGGGGCGCCTGGGTGGCGCAGTCGGTTAAGCGTCCGACTTCAGCCAGGTCACGATCTCGCGGTCCGTGAGTTCGAGCCCCGCGTCGGGCTCTGGGCTGATGGCTCAAAGCCTGGAGCCTGTTTCCGATTCTGTGTCTCCCTCTCTCTCTGCCCCTCCCCCGTTCATGCTCTGTCTCTCTCTGTCCCAAAAATAAATAAATGTTGAAAAGAAAAATTAAAAAAAAAAAAAAGTAAATTAACCTGCACTTCCCTTTGAAAACCTTCGTGGCTGGTGTGGGAGAGACAAGAGAGAGGAGAGTTATTGTGTAGGACGACTTTCACTCTAACGGAATCACTGCCGTCTGTTGGCTCAATGGGTTCTTTTTCTTTTCGTACAACTTTAACAGGGAACCTGTCCAAGGACCTAGAGTGAAGCAAAGCGTGCCTAAGCTCGCTCTTGTCTGGAAAAGCAAAGGACCGTCCAGAGGTGCTTTGAAGGGACAAAGATACACTAACACCAGTTGTGGGCACCTTCCAACGTTCCGAAAAATCACCGATTTCTGACAAAAGCTGTAGCCTGAGACCGAGCATCTGAGCGTGGGAGATGATCACCCATAATCCCACAGCGAGCGAGCAAGAGAGAGAGAACCACCACTGGCTCAGTTGCGATCATGGGGCTCCTACTGCAAGACCTCGCTCGTTCATCAAGGTAAAGTCGATTCGAAACGTCTGCTCGTCTTGCGGACACAGGTGCCGAACAAGTGCCTCGCGACCCAAGGGTTTACCGTATGTGCTTATATACGTTCTACACACACCCGCACGTAACTGACAAAAACTCTGGCAGGCGGGACACCGCGCAGCGAGAAGCCACCGGAGTGGGGCGCGGGCTCGGCAGGGGTCCTGATGGCGAGAAACGGAGCGCCTGCCAGGCCAGGTCTAGTTAGGCGAGGCGAGAGGAGCTTCACGGGGCCTGTCGTGGGAATCACGCACGGGAGCAGAGCGGACCTCGTGGGCGCGGCCGTGGGGACCGGCAGCCGCCCGGCTCCGCGCGCGCCGCCCCCCCCCCCAACCCCGGGCGCCGGCGCCGCAGTCTACGTGGGAAGGGCAAAGGGCCTGCGTGCCGCCTGGCGTCATTTCGAGCCTGCCTTTCACCCTCCTCGCTTTTTACAGAAGCGTTCGGATGGGCCTTCTGCTCGGAAGGCCACTTAGAAGTTAACAGAGAACGAGGCCAGCGTTGAAACCGTGAAAGCTGCCCGGGGAAATGTGATAACAGAAGGTTGTTGCTCCGTCTTAAGGCAGGATGATGCTTTGCTTCCCATCGCGTCTATCTTGTGCAGACCCATAGTAGGATCTCACGCACAGAATTATACAGGGTGCCTGGGGCTTGCTTCTGAGTGTGCGAAGTGGGGGTGAGGGTAAGGAGGAGAAATTCCACACCCTGAACCACACTTGTGACACCTGACTGCAGACCTGGGCTTCCCTCCCCTCCGCCAGGCTCCTCCCAGAGGGGTGACCACGAGTCCTCTCACCCCAGTGGTGCCGGTTCAGGGAGCTGGGAGATCACATCGGTAGGAGACGGGGAGAGGGCTTTAGTCCGGGGTGGGGGTGGGGGTGGGGATCTGTGGACACAGCTGAGGGTAAGCCGCCCTTAGTGACCAGAAGGGCCCTGCTGGAGAAGGTCATCTAAAAGACGTGACTGCCGACTGACCCGCGAGCGGGACCAGGCACCCGGAGGCCCCTCACCCCCTCGCAGTCCCTGGAACGTGGGTTCTGTTCCTCTTGCCTTTCCCGCTCCCGGCGGCTGCTCCGAGGACACAGCCTTGAAAGGTGACATGGGGTTGAAAACACCCGCAGGGTACGCGGGACTCGGCCAGGTAGAGCCTCTTGATAAGCTTTCAAGATCCAGCGGGTAGGTGCAGGGATCCATTAGTCCCGCCCGCTGCCCAGGACGAACCTGGAATGTACGTTCCCTTCGCTTATTAAAACTGCCACCTCCCGACCCGGAGGGGCCTCCTTCTTCCGTCTCTCCCCGTCACCCTCCCTCAGTGGGTTTCCGATTACACCCGGGAAGCCCTGGGAGGGTTTCTAATCACGCCCCCCCCCAACCCTGCTCGCTCTTGTGTCCCCACCTGGTGTGTGGCCGGCCCCAGAGTTCTCCGAGCTGACCAGAGCTGACTGAGCACAACACCCTGATGTCACAGGTGCTGGCCTCGCCGCCGCAGCCCCCGTGTGAGGCCAAACACCCACTCCTGGGACCTCACTAGGAACGGATCCCGCTGGGTCACAGCCTAGTACTGTGCCCTGCCTCGGAAAGCCAATGTCCTAGAGCCCCGTGACAGGTCTCAGGCTACAGGGCCATCGGATAGACCAACCTGGCATAGAAGGGCTGCTGGGGCGGGGAACACCCAGGAAGGAGTGCCAGGCCAGCCGGTGCCGTCTACACCTGCCTCTGGGCTGCACCCCTTTTTATCTATCTTCCATACAGCAACTGGAAGGATTTAAGTTTATTTAAGTAATCTCTACACCCAACATGAGGTTCGAACTTAACCCTGAGATCAAGAATCGCCTGGTCCTCTGGGCCAACCAGGCACCCCAGGAGGATTCTTTAAATAACGAATCAATAGTCACTCTCCTGCTCAAAAGATCTCCACTGAACTTAGGGTAGAATCCAATTTACCTGACCTCCACGTCCTTCGTCATCTTCCCATCCACCCTCTCTTTTCCATCCTCACCTCCCCCTCCCCCCTCACTGACCCTCCACCGGCCCTCTGCTACTCCGCCGGATCCTGCCTCAGGGCCTTTGCACTTGTCCTTTCCTTTGTCCACACCACACATGAATCCCCAGTCACACGTGACAGTGTCTCTCTTTTCTTTCACTGCTTCCATTTCATCTTTACAAGAGGTCTCTCCTGCCCATCTTAATATGGACTCCCCACCTCCAAAGCATTCGCTTTTCTGATTTACGCCGTTAGCCCCTGTCACCGTTTGAATTTTTCATTCGTTGTTTGGTTTATTGTCTGTCTCCTCCACTTAGAATAGAAGTTCCATGGGGGCG